TAATTTTGAGTTTTTTTACGACTGTGCAGTGTTCATTCATAATACATCGTATCCGTCAATTTATTAATGCTGCCACTGACATATACAGCGTGATCCATGTCTATTGCAAAATTTTATGAGAGCTGTGCAACCACTTCCTCAAACCATAGGCACAAATGTACTTTTCCTTAAACAGGATGAACACAGCATGCAGTTTTCTTAAACTTGAATTCAGTTCTAGCAGTCGGTACCTTTTACATCATTCGGCAATTTAGAAACTTCTTTAAAACCGAAGGAAATACTTCCTTTAAGAGTAGAATTTAAAGAAGGCGTAATTTTCAATCAAATAAGTACAAGAGGGGACTTTTCGTGCATGCTTTCCATCGAATATATTTGAATTTATAAAGGCAGTCAAAATCAATGATAAAGATTCATACTATTTAAGTAGCCATTTTTTACAGAATCAACTTTTTCGCAGCGGACAAAAAGAAGCTCATCACAGAGTCGGCATCCTAGCGTGACTATAATAATTGAAATTGGAATGTATGATAAACATCATTGCAATCCTACTCAATGTTGGTTTGCGAGGGGTTACCGGTCTTTTTCAAATTACTGAAGGTTTCACGCAGCACTCGCCATACTGTATTTGATATCGATGTCTGCAGTTCTACTTGCCGTTTACTGGCAGCGGAAGTAAATCGATCATCAATCAGAAAAAAGCAGGCCTTTAGGCATCAGCGGCAATCTGATCAAAAGCAAAAAGGCAGCCTGGCGCATACCTCCTCGTAGCGTTCCAATGTCAGGTTTTTGTACAGCTCCTTCGCCCGTCTAGCATCCTCAATGGTTTGGTCAGTGAGGTTTTGCACATGCTGGATTCGAGAATTCAGCATTGTCAGACGTTCGCTCGCATCACGCAAAATGTCCTCAGCCTCCCAGCGGGAATTGTTCACCTAGAAAAAAAATTGAAGTGTTGTTTAAGGGCACTTGAAAGTTCAAACTTTCATTTAAAATTAAATTTAATGGGTAGTATTTATTTCATTTCAGTTATTTCATTCTTTATTAGCAAGATTCACGTTGAGGAAACCGGTGAACTCTGTATCTAAGGAATCATGGTATCGAAGACATTTTAAAGCACTTAACGCAACGAACTTGTTGCTTCGGTTGTCTACCCTGAATGCAAAGTCGTTCACTTTTTAGGGAGAAACCTCCCTTGTAAAGCTTAAAACCTGTACCTATCCTCATATATAATAATCCTAGTGTGGGTATGAACAAGCATTCATTACCGAAGTCCTGGCGTCGAGGAGCGTTTATTGGCACTAAACTGGGTTCCGTAATAAATGCCAGCTTGTGATTATTTATTGTTTTAACGAGTTTGACTGCAAATCATCACTCCGCTGATGCCCTTTCTCGAAAATAATATGAAAGAATGTATGTGCCACGGTGCTAAATACATTCTATCTAAGGACAAATTCATATTTCTTTAAACTTTTGGGAAAATTGCATATGGTATTCACGCTGACAGTTTGACGTCGCTCTCGATGAATTCCCCCCCGAGCCGCCACAAGCTGCATCATTGCTGTGAAAGAAGACTTGCGGAGAATCCACCCCACTCCCACACTGGGACCCGGTGGTCAAGACAGAGTCAAGAAGGCCGGAGGTGAGGGAGGGCGCTGGCAGTTGGCGCGACCAACACTCAATTAGCGTGCCGACAGCATGCCTCGCTAGGTAGGCTCCCGCATGGCAGCGCCATAAAGGCCACATTAAGAAGGAACCATTGAGCCTGACTATCAGCTCGCAGTAAGCCACTCCACACA